GGTTCATCGTGTCTGATTCCTATTATCAGCATACCTCCAAGGTGAAGGGCCGACGTCCAAATCGACCCCTGTCTCTGCCGGAACTGACAACAGCAATGAGCCGCCACCCAACGGTGCTCTTTTTCCATGGGAATGCTGCGGATCGAGCAGTGGCATACCGTGTCTCGCTCTACTCGCAACTGTCGAGTCGTCTAGGAGCGAATGTCTTGGTCATCGATTATAGAGGCTTCGGAAATTCCGACGGAACGCCCACTGAAGCTGGACTGGCCAAGGATGCAAAAGCTGCTTGGGATTGGCTCGTCACCTACGGTGCCTCGCCGTCTAGTATCTTAATTATGGGGCATAGCCTGGGGGCTTCTGTGGCCACCATGCTTGCATCGGAACTATCCAGCAGAGGTGTGATATTTTTGCTAAACTATGTCCAGGTCATGGAGCTGAATTGTTGACAGGGATTCGGCCTAGGGGTGTGACGCTCGTAGCCCCTTTCACTGATACCCAAACCATAGCGAGGACATACACTCTTGGGGGCGTCATCCCCTTGTTCCGGCCACTGAGTGTCTTCCCTTATGTGCTGGAAATGGTAGTTTCTCTCATTGCTGAGATGCATGATACAAAGTCGAGGATAAACGTGAGTACAATTTCTTAAAATAATAAATGCATGCTTCATTGTCTCTAGTCAATCCAAGCTCCTATCCTATTGGTACATTGTCGCAAGGATCCCACAATTCCTTCTGCACATTCAAGGGACCTCTTTGAAACGCTGCTGGATCCGCTGCTTCCACCCCTACCACCCACTCCAGAAGGGTTCGCCCGATCCAAACTGCCGCGGGAACACTCCAAGCATCTAAACGAAGCTATCGCACGGCGTAACCAAAGTCGCGCGGGGACTGTCACTGAAAGCACCATAGGAGGTTTCGCATCCCATGTCGCTGAGTTTGATCGAGGTGAGAGGGGTCGTGGAGGAAAGGTCAAATTGGTGGAGACACTATATGGTGGACATACAAATATTGTGGGAGCAAGTGGAGTTATTGACCTTATTGGAGAATTTTTTGACATCTGGCGAACGTAATCAAGCGCTGCTACCCAACTATAGGCACTGTAATTTATGACCATTCGTTAGCGGGGTTCTAGCTGTACTGAAATTTTGTGTCTATTGATTGGTGTTGCATTGTGCCGGAAAACCTTGTGTTTCAGCGCAGCCCGCCATCCCGGATGGCCCCTCGCATATCACTGGGCTCCACCCATAAATCCGCAAAGCCATGTGCATCAGTCGCTCCAAGTGCGGATCTCAAATCTCGGCTGCAGCTAATGTTGTGTAACAGCAGGCTGCCGGACGCATTATTGGCTGATGGTTGAGCGATGGCACGTTCCGCATTGTCCGTTCCACCGTCCTTGAGTTTGCCTTCATGCCATGTCAATGACGCTATCGATCTCGATTTCTCAGTGCAGTGATGCCCGGAGCTTAACGTCGCTCATGTGTTCGGCACCCCCTTCTATATATGCCATCCTCTGCCTCGTGCCCATGTGACAACGGTGTTCCCCAGCAACCAATAGTGTCATCGGATCTCTGATAACTGTTCATACTATGCCAGCCATTAATGACATCAGCTTCGTAGCGCCCATCGGCAGCTGTCCAAATGCCCCATGCTTAATTTACCCCTGAACCCCATGCTAGTGTTGGGATTATAAAACTGTACTAGTTGGGTCTAACTGGAAGATGAAGGCCTGCGCCACAGAAGATAATTCCTTCTTGCTTGGTGGGGGGCGCACCCAGTGTTAATACTTTGTGAAAGCATTGCACTCCCTTAATACCCGACAGTCTCAACATAGCCAGCTGCACATCGAAACGAACGAAAAGATGGGCGACTCAGAGAGCCCAAAGCTCACGAGCTATTATTGAACACGTCCTGCACCGCCGCCGATGCTCATCTACGATGAGCAGAAAAACAAAAGAGCATCGAGAGGAAGATGCATATTAGTGCTGAAGTAATTATAGATTTGTTCTGCAAGCCCTTTCATCGGAGCCAAGAACAGAGCGCACATCTACGCGGCAGAATTTACAGCCTCCCATGTTCAATTAGCCTACATACGAAGGATTCCCAGCTCGGCAGTGCAGCTCGGTCGGTATGGACCATGCAGTGGAGACTCGTTGGTGCAAACGAAATGTAAATACGTGTTTCGAGATCGCGTTTCAGCAAGTACCAACATTGGATCCGATCAGAGAACCGATGCCAAAGCCGAAGCGATCAAGCGCCCAAGTAATGTTTGACGCCAGGTGCACATTGACTAAACAAGTGAATTCGTGGAGTTTGCCGGCTGAACAGGTTACAATTCTCTCTCATGATTGTCACGCCGTTTTACCCCCGACCCGCTCTCCTCGGCGCTCCGGGCTGTTCATCTTGGTCCTCTGTGTTGATATCCTGTCGGATTTTATCAAACTACCTCGGTGCAGCTCATGTGCCAACAAGTCGTGTCGGATGCTGGTGCTAATTCAAGGGCGATAGTGCAACTCGACATACGAATTGCGTCTGACTTACAGAAGTGCGCCCACAACTTGGGGCTTGCATCAAATATGCGCCCCATCCCCTCTCATCCTGAGGCTAGGAACAGTCTATATGACCACCTCCCCGCCAGTTCCTGGTGGGGATACGCGCACTTCAGCTCATGATGAGTGCTGCGCTTCAGGCCCCAATTCCTTTTTTCACGGTACCCATCTCGATGGGTAAAAATCCGTATTGCCTCCCTAACAATTGTTTAGGGAGGAGCGGCCTTCATTGGCCTGGGATCTGTTGACCCCAACACTCCCCCAGAGGTAGTGTTACATTGACTAAGATATGGGAGAAGATTCTGGTCCGAAGGGAAAATTAATATTGGCTATTTCGAATTCGTCATCACCAATCGGGCCTGCCCGCCAATAACGCTGGCTGAAAAGCGATCACGACTCACGAGGGTGGTATATACACTTACTGTAACTCGATTTGGACTTCCAGTAGGAGATCCATGCTCGTGTCCTGTACATTCGGAAGCCTTGTGAGGCTGTGCGCTGGAAAGACGTAATACTCTCACCCGGTTAGGAAGTGCAAACAACATGCAGCAATATTGATGCAGCATATAACGCTGATCGGATACCAAAGAGCCCTGGCATGTCTTTCCTCGGAATACACCGAATTGGTACGTGCTTCCGCGGCCGATCTGCGCAAAACGCCATTTATTTGATGGAAATGCCTATTGTGGCACGATGGTGGCGATTCGGTGCCCGAGTTATGCGTTGTAACTGACTAGGTTTGACCAACATTGATTGATGGGATGGTATTTGGGGCGTTCAATTCGGAGAGTCCGCAGATAGATTGAGTCGTCACTTAATGATCTTAGGGCCCTATCGCGTCAGTACAAGGCAACATCACCTGGATTCGGGAGTTTGGGACTTGACATATGTAGGCCCAAGCACACGGTGAGCTCAGCGTTGGTGATACGAAATCTTGCCCCCTGGAGAAGACATGTTTTCTAAATTCACCTCTTGATCAATAATCGGCTGGTCAGATTCTTGTAAACGAGCTCGGGTCAATCAGAGGTAACGTCGTTCATGCGATACGATGACTGTTCATCATATCTGAGCAAGCTTTGTACATCTTAGACATCAGATCCGCAACAACGTGTATGAATAATTCATCAGCAGGTCGAATGATGAGTTTTCATGGGGACAAGGTAGAGCCGGTTGGAAGCAAGATGGTTTCAGGCTTGACATGATCAACGCCAACGGTTTTTCAGGTGGGACGTACGCGAAGTCCCACCACGGATTGTGCCTATAACTACTACCGTTTTGGGGAATATACGATTCGAGATGGGGCAATTGATGGGAACTGAGGTGAAGCGCAAATGGCTCAAATCGGACCAGCCACGATTCATGATTCTTTTTGGAAACGGGAAATAGTAGCGCACGGGCGTTATATATCCTTTACGTCGTACGACGATACATCGTTGATTTCATTTCGAAGCTGTCGTCCAACTTCGGGTACAAAGCGCAAATCTTTGGCTGAGACATTCTACGTATGGGCTCTTGGAGATTCTTGATGTTAAAATGTGCGGCAAACGAGGATGAGTTGATAGGTATGGCAAATCAACAAAGAGGCTAAGCGATGGCTGTAATTCGGTTGAGAAGATTCCAATAAAGGCTAGTAGCCTGTCTCTTGTCTAGCTCTATAGTATTCTTACAGCTCCCGTAGTGCCGCCTGCGAGTTTGAGAGGCACACTGAGACTAGCAAGAATTTTAGCAGTCGAGAGTCGTGACTTGCGTGTTTCAAAGCTAGCAGCCTTTTCAGCACGTATCAAGGACGAACCATTCCAGGAGGTCTAGACGTCGAAGACGTAGAACGCGCCTGATTGTGGTGCTACGGAAAACGTCACTGTGAAGCTCAAAGAGGCAAATGCTACATATCGCATTGTTCCGACTAGCCATAGGATCCCATCCCTGAAAGCCAACTGTTCAAATTTGGATGATCGACGATAGAGAACCGCCAGTGTGACCGCATGAATATCGTAATACTAAACTTGGTACTGATCATCACTCAATTGGCAAATACATAGGACATGCCTTATCTTGTGAGGCGCAATCAATTGGGAGGCGTTGATGTCCAGATCACTCCGTTTGTATTCTCGAAACAGTGCATTCTCGCGTCACCGGACGGAGTTGGCCATTCTGTCTCAGTAAAGAAGTCGACATTGTACAAACGAAAATGCGATCTTATGCATTAAGTGTATCAAGGGCCGGCACAACACACTTGGCTGGCGAAGGCCGGGTCCAATACACGTCGTTTCTCCCTTGCGTGGGGAAAAAAGAGGACCAATCCTCTGGTTTGCTGTTACATTCGTGATGGGGAAAAGATGAAATTCTGCCCTATTGACAAGTGCACTTAATTTCCGACGTCAGGCTGCTGCCCTGATGAAGGGGTACGCGAAACGCTTATAATTGCGTTCGACCGACCCTCCATCGCAAAATAATAATGACCCCACCACTCCAACCTTCCCATCCCGACGACCTGGCGAACTACGGGGTCGAAGTGAGTATATCGTCTTTGATAGGAAGCTTCAAGTGCTGGACTAATCGCCATTAATTTTCTTCCCAATCCACCCTTCATTCGTTGGCCAACCATGCAAATGTTGGCACGGATCGTGCTGTCCATTGCACCTGGGCATAGATCGGATGGAGGGTGGCGTACTGGGACGAGGAAGCCAAGGAAATGAAGCAAGGGGTGTTGTGGGATATATGGCGCAGGGTAAGTCCACAATCCTCCCTTCGCCCCCCAGGCAACCAACCAATCACTCAATTCGCTGACCCCTTTTCTTCTCTTGCACCTTTGCTCACGCTTGTAACGTTCCTTTCGCGCGATTGATTTGGACGACTGGGAATTCTGCCTCTGCTGTAACTGTTCGCAACTTTGCATCTCCACTCCTTCACTTCCTTCACTTCCTTTGGGGTTTCCTTTCATGACTTTTACGGTCTAATAACTGCTATACGACGGGGATTCTTGTAGCCGGATGTTCACAGACCAGCAGCGCTGGTAAAAGAAACCCTGGAGGATATTGTTGCGTCAGTAGTTCCGTAAGTCCTTTTACCCTACACGCACCATTATTGAATTGCTGAGCATAGCATTTTCCCGTAGAATCGACCTCCTTACTCTGGACTCCACGTAAGTGAGGTTTCTTGTTTGGCTGCGATGAACGATGCACGCCGGCTGGCACTGGGAGTCTTGTACCCAGTTTGATGAACCAAGGGGGAAGGATAGGCGGCGCTCGTTCGCATAGCCCACCCAACCTCCCAGTGTCTGGGTCTTGTCGTTTCTCCCTGTGTAATGTTACTCACCTCGCTTATCATTTCTGCCGCATCCTATCCATCAGTGGGAACTGATAGTTCCCATTAGCAAGCTCGTAAGTCGTTTCCCGATCGATTCGTGGAGTCGCCGTCCTCATTCGCCTCGTACCCATTTCCATCACTGGGCTTGATCTCCCGTTCGCTTCAATTCGATCTCGACCATGTGCCATCCTATGCCCCGGGCCCTACACCCACCACCACGTCTGCCTGTTTATTGGCGGATTAGATTTATCCATGTAACCAAAAACAGGGAGGCAAGCCGGGGTTGTGGGCGTGGAAAGGGGATGGAGTGGCGTGTACTGTTCGTTTCCAATCTTATAGTAGCATGGGAGAACCCGCGTATCATTTCGGGTTTGGAGCCGAGCGCAACACCATTTTCCCCCCGGGCGTCCACGCGCTTCTGTGCATATGTTAACCGAGCACAAGTGAATTATTACCCACCTCCACTAGTCCACCAGTTGTCAGGCGGACTCTTTGATCCCGCTCGACGATTCTTCCACACTCCCCACCTCGTTCCATCCATATTCGAGCCAACCGATTGTGTCCAAGAATACTATCGGCAACACACCTCGTCCGTTCCTTCGGTATCCGGTATGGTTCGAACGATCGGCTGCTGACAACATACGCAATGCTTGCAACACCTCTCAAGGCGCCCGCGCTCTACTTCTTTATCAACTATTTTCTTTTGATAATATTGCTTCTCTTTCCCATCTCACGATCCGCCTGTACGTATAATAGTGATATTACAATAGAAGCCAGAGTCCGTAAGTTTTGACATGTCCAACAACAGAGGACGTATGACGAATTCGTTGCATGCAACCCTGGAAGTGCGCGCGTACAATGCAAAGAAATGAGGGATGCGAGTATGCGAACGGAGTGGAAGCAGCCAATAGCCTTTTCTCAGATAACTCGACGCCCACATCCGAAAGGAGCCATAGACAATTCCTGAATTACCTTTTACATACGGGGACCTAGAGATAGCGACAATGCTGAGACACCGAGCCAAAGATAATGTGATCGAAGTTCCCCAATGCTTGCTATGATCCCTCTCGCATGTGAGACCTGACCAGGTCTTGGGTTAGGATCGGCTCCGGGGCCAGCCATGATAAGTCAGGCCGGCGCAGACCGGCGAAGTTTGCGCTTGCCGACGAAGTGTACTCGGGATTTGACAGGTAAATGAACGGGGCACTAAGAAAGATGCCATGAGGGTTGGGGGGCTGTTACGTCATGGTAATGTGGAGGTTGTGCCACCTACTACGGAAGGCGAAGTAGAGTTGGGCGCATCAGTAGGGGTGTTCAGAAGCCTCTCGGGCAAATCGACGGGAGAGCGAGAGTAATCTGCGTACAACTTTAAGAACAGTAATCGCCATAAGTTCCACGAGATTGTTTACTCTTGGCTGGCCCGTGACCATCGACCACGACGTAGCGCTCCAACTCTTGCAGAATGGTGCTCCAGTTAATGGCTCGGCAGGCGGCCTGGCGCCGAAGTGGACTGGCTAACGCTTATTCACGTCGTCACTGTCGTTATCGATAGGCAGGTTACCAGCCTCTATTGGAATAGATTGGGACTGCTGACCCCACTACTCGACTTAAACAAGCTCACATGACCCGCTTTGGATCATGCCTCAACTCGTTTGGCTGATCACTGGGACAACGTGAGCCGTTCACCTCACATAACATCTTCGAGTCACCAGCCCTCTAGTCCTGGTTTCGGACGTGAACGTGCTCTTGCCGCTCGCCACCGCATGCTGACTTGCTGCCATCGATGGAAGGATACTAGTCAGCCCACACTGTGTTAATAAGGCCAGTGTGCATGTAAAGTGCTGAACTTCCCAATGACATTGGTTGGTAGTTGCCTGCGCCAGTAACGATGCTGTCGCAGTGACGGTTGAAGTGCCTGTGTTAAATGTGATGATATATGGTCATTGTGCGGTAACTTGTGTACGGCCAGATGGGACACCGAGAGGATAGCGCGATAATTAATGAAAGGGGTTGTCGACGGGCCGGCAGCCTTTCAACAATAGTTTCTAGCAAACCAGGCCTTGAGACACCATGGCCAATATTAGCATAAATTTGCATCATATCGTGCTGCTGGTGCTTAGCTTCAGATACTACTGGCTCCTAAATTCAGATTATTGTCTCTATTGTCCAGCTGAGTGGCAGAGACAGATTTGTCCGCAGACTACAGACACTTTTCGTTCTGGCAACCATCATCACGGAAACCGAATAAGTGCCCAAAACCATCCGGTGTTCGTGATGATGCAGCTCCTAAGTAGCCATCATGCAATTGCTATAGGCTCTCGTGGCCCGACAAGTAACCCCTCTCTGCTTAGCCAAGAACTCGCACAGCAGGATACTCTGTTGCTAGCCCTCCCAATTTGACGACTTGATATCTGACGGAGTGGGGAATCAGAGAACTCGCGCAAAGCTTCATCACTGAAGGCACTCTTGCTCCACTAGGCTATCGTCAAGGATCACCTGCGATGAGCGGAAAAACCAAGCACATGCACATGGAAAGAAAGCCATACACTGAGTCTTCACGCAGAACTGTCTTTCGCTCATGCCTCGGACAGATGATGATGAAAACAAGGACTTCATGGCCAACTCACGTCGAGTCACGAACGGTGCATCGGTTGGAGGCTTGCCAATGATCCCCGAAACACGTTCAACAACAAGGAAGGTGCATAAAATGTCCATTAGAATGCTGAAACTAGTTGCACGTAATGATGCCTCAAATTCTGTTGGAGATATGGCCAGAAAAAAGCCCCACGTCAACACATGGCTTTGATTCCCACCTCCAATAATCGGGATCCGAAACTTGAACAGCGGAGGCGGCCACAATTCTGCTCTTCCCGGGAAGATAAGCCCGGATGGCACGCGTGGCATTTCTCATGAAATCACAGCTATTCTGAGTGCGATTCTTGCAGGCCGAAACTTCGAACGAGTCCACAAAGTGCCCTGCGCCACATCCTGGGACGATAATCTGGACGAGGAGGCGATAATCATTCAGATTGGCACGCCCCCCCATGACAATGCAACTCACCTTGTGTAGTGTTTTTGAGGGATGCCCTGTAGACCGAACAGATCCAAAGGTGGCACTTGTCTTGGTTGCGTTCCCCTCCATCCATGCACAAATTTGGGTGACCCCAACATAATTTGGCCTATTAGACTTAGGGGAAATATGAACGTTGTAGATGGAGTTGTTTGAGGAGATAGCAGTTGCGATAGTGTTCTGAGATGGAAGGACGTTACTTGGTGATTTCAGCTTTGTTTCGACTAGCTCACCGAAGGTGGCCCACTCATGAGATCTCGAGCGGGTCCAACGGGTCCATCGACCAAGGAGCATTCCTAAGGGAAACAAACTAAGAAATGGCATTGCAATCTGACTCCAGGCATACCGGTGCTATGTGGTACCACCAGCAATTTGTCAATCCTCTGTTACCCCACTTGCCCTGGAAGTTGAGCCACGAAAATGTACCTGGCGCCAGCAAAACGATATCAGATATGCCGCGAATGGAGAAAGAACAACTTCCCCACCCTTGTAAGGTCCCCCTGGGATATACATTATGGGGAACAAGTTTGCCTTGGCATCCCATTTCGGACCACCATTAGCCGTGACATCAACAAGTTGGTCGGTGAGTTGACCGTAGCTGACCTGTCATGAATGGTTCGTCTGAGCATGCACCGTCAGCTGCTGAGAGACTCCTACATTCTGGTACACATCCTTTCCAGGGGAGTTCCAAATGCCGTGTGAACCCTGTGCTACCCACCCAATAGGGCGATCCTCGCCAGGTACTTTTGGGACGTCAGCCCAGCGTATGGTCCTGGAAGATGAAATGGTAGAAACACTTCGGCATGAGTTATATTTGTAGGATAATATTTCTCGTACCCGGTAGACTGACTTCCTCCCGAATGAGCATTGTAATCCGCGCTCACGGCAACGCCTAGAAATCGAAGAATCGGCGATCAGGGGACAGACCCGCGTCCCCAGCGCAGAGCGCACCGTTGACAGTCCGAACAGACATTCTCTCCCAGTCACTCACATCTGGACGATCCACGTTAGTTTGAACATAATATCACACCCGAGCCTGGATGGCACGCTCACGGTCACCAACTTCTCCAACCGCTTTTACTATCTTTCCTTGATTCCACGGATAGTACGTCCAATAGTAGAAGTCTACCACTCCATTTCCTTTGGGAGCGATGAAGGTATAGACGGGAACACGAGTCGTCTTTGGGTTCTTTCCAGCAAGGAACGTCCCCAGAGCGTTCGTATAATTTTGGACGGTAAGGAAAGTTCCTTGGCCATTGCTTGGCAAGGACGACGCAAGGTTCGTGCTCGTAAGGAGAGGTGGCTGGTTGGGGACGAGGTTTCCTTTGTCGTCATACACCTAAACAGTGGTATTGAACGCTCCGCCCAGACTGTCCACCAAGTGGCAGCGCCCACCTTGAAGTTCGGAAACATAAACTCGATAGAGCTCGGCAAGAAGGCTTCACTTGGACTAAGGACTTCATTCAGCGGAGCGCCAAATGTGCGTAAGAAGTGAAGTAAGCATACTGCAAACGAAACTGAGGCGCATATTTGCGTGCGAGATCCTCATGCGGAATTGTAGCGTAAACACAACCCGTGCAAAAAAGTAGAATGGCCACGCTGCAAGCAAGAAAAGAGGGCTGATTGCATTCAAGGGGTAAGAGACAGCTGCCATGCTCGTGCATCCACAACGTTTACTGACCATCCTAATAATAGTCGTAGGTTGTGGAGGCGAAGGGACGTTGATCAATTACCTTTTAAATGCGTCCCTAAAACCCTTCGAACCCTGTCAGATGGACAAGTATAGGCCGGCGCTCACACCGCCGCATGATTGTCATGGCTTTTCTTTTCGTCCCCATCATCCCGTGAAGCAAGCAACGAGTAGGTCTGTCTGGTGGCAGTGTAAGGTCTCCGAACTTCCGTCGGCGAGAGCAAGGCTGTTACTATTAGATCGACAAGTCATGACTCACGACACCACCCGGCCCCGGCGCGAACACACTGTGCACCATGCACCGCCTCGTCATTGCTTTTCCGTACAACGACGCCAGGGTTGGACTTGATGGTCCCACGGCGAAATAACAGAGGTCTGTCTGACGACGACAGAGCCACACGTTAGGGTCCTCGCACAATGTAAGGCCACTCGGAAGAAAATGGGCCCCAAGTTCGTAAGTGGCAAGATTGAATGAAATGCCAATGGGTGACGAATGGAAGCCCAAGCTTTGTTCCGATGATTGCGCGAGAATCGCACAACCGTTATCTGAGACGGCGGTTCCAGCAGAATATAAACCAGTGGCAAGAGCGCCGAGCTTCACAGAGGCCATTTCATCGCCGAGGACTGTTACGTTCCCATCGATATCTTCCATTGACGAATCTGATCCAGACCGAGTTCTTGACAGAATTGGGCCGCAATCGACAGATTTTACGCTGATGATCGATGTCAGCGATTTCGATGACGCCATGATCAAACCCTAGTGCAACATAAAGACCATCTAGGGAGAGTGCGGCGCAACTTCACAATGCCACTACGAACATCATTTCCTTTATATATAATTTAATCCTTGGTACGACCGCATGATGCTCGTGTCT